GTCATGCCGTGAAGGCTGCTCTTTGTGATCTCGGGGATCCTGGCTGGGGGGATCCCTGGTTTCCGCATTGAGCTTTTTTGCTTCCTGCACCCGCTGGAGTGGCCCATTGTGATTTTGGGGTTAGTCTCGTTGTTGCATTTTTCTATGGGCCTGCGTCTATATGGCACACAAGATGCCATTATGCATGTTTCGAGATGATACTAAGTTATCACCTCCTGCTTTTATGGATCTTTTCACCCATAAACTGGTACTTGTCATGTCACCGCTCTTTGGTGTGGGTGGTTTTTTGGTTGTTTGTTTCGGTTTTTGTTTGTTGTTTTGTTTCTTGGTGTTTTTCCGGTTTTTCTTGCTGAGCGTGACAGCCATAGGACTATGTATCGGTCCTCCACCAGTTTACTTTTGCGGCCGCTACAGGAATGGCCTTTGCGTGACTTAATTAAGCTTTTAATCCTAATTGCAACATGCTCTCAAACATGTTGAACGACCTGGCGGAAGCCATGAAGGCGTTGGAAGGAAAAAAAATTCTGCAGTCTGCCTATTCTATGGGAGAGTGGCATTATGGACCTGGTTTCGCTACATTCTACTTCTGCGCATACTGCAATGCACTGCAGGTCTTTCAGGGACAATGACATCCTGAAATGTCCTGAACAGTTCTGTAGTTTTTGGCTTTGCGAACCTGCACCGAGGAGAGCTACACTGCCCAAGACAGCCTTGGCATTGTGGAGCTCTGCATTCAAATTTACGAATACAATGATTTGTTTTGCATTGTTCTCTGCTTTGTGAATACTGCGTTGGTACTGCAGCTGAGGGCTACAATTTCCCCGATGAAACCAGGGGCATGCTGGATTGGCGATGGTATTTTTGAAGCTTTTTCCTGGCCTAGATCGCTTCACGCACGCCATCACTGTCCACCCCCCCTTGGGGGGGTTCTGGCTCTTCCTTTCACGGCTTCGAGGCTACGGCTGACAGATATGGTAACGACTCTGTCCATGGAGGTCTGACGAGCTGATCTGAGAGAACGCTGTCTGACGAGCTAATCTGAGAGAACGCTGAGAGAGGCTTAATTGCAGCCCTGCCCTTTTTGTTT